GTCTAGCTCAAGCAGAATATACTATATGTGATGAATGGAGGGTAAAGCATGAAGAAGTGGGACTAACTATACAGAGCAGTGGTTAATTTATGAACTAAAGAGGGCCTCAAATGTGGCCCATGGCATCACCAAAGGGCTGTGCATGGTGTTTAATATATGTAATGCTTGAGAGGACTGTAAGAAACACTGCAGACCTGACAGAGGAAATGAGGGCCAGAGGAATGTGGACATTTTTTGGCTGGGGAAATGCTGCAGAAGACAATACCGAACTGGGAACGTGTTACATGAGGCCAGTAGAGATCAATGCTATAACCCTAATCAGTGTTCCTACTACAAACTGCTGAGGTCCGAGGGCCACACATCATATACCAAAGAATCACATGCGGCAGTCAAGCCGCAGGTTGGGCACCAGTGATAGAACATTTTCTAGCTATGGCAGGGACAAAATTATTAAAGGTAAACGAACAGCAATGCATGTGCAACATAATCACGGATGTTTGAGAAATTACAGTAAATTAAAGGAATTATGCAAAATGCTGTTTGACCATTCTTTTTTATGTAGGCTAAAAAAACCTCAGTGTTTGATTCTTGCAGGGAAGTTTTATTTAGTAGTACACTGAATTGGAATGCAATGTGATTGCTTGATCAAAGGTGGTATTTTATCGCACGATCATTGCTAACTACAGCAGTACAAATTAATGATTAATTAAATGGGGCTATCTGACGATCTTTTATTATGATTTGCACTCTAGCTCACTATGATTTATGCATTTGATTGCTATTCACCCATTTGCACTTATGATATAATTTTTTTAGACGTGTTTTTTTTTTTTTTTGGGGGGGGGGGGGGGAGAAAGGGATTTATTTACTATCATTTCCTTATATAATTAGCGAAGCTGCTAGGTAGGATCTTTTGTAGAAGCATTCAACATTTATTTTAATGCCATAATAGTATCACCTATTAATAACTGGACTTCCCAGTTATCTGCCCAAATTGCAAAGCGTTCATGAGGAGGGCAGGAGAATATGACCATAGCAGCTGGGTGGAAAAGGCAAATCTGCTGGGGATGTCTTACCATCGACTATATCTTAACATTGACTATGGATGTGTAAAGCCAGCAACCAATAAAAACAAATACCACACATTGGTCAATCCATTCTTGTAGCTCCTTGTGGACATGGGAATGCATAAATATACTGCTAAAAAAAGAAGCTTGTACCAGTGCCGATGGTGGTGGATAGCCTGCTGCGCAAACAGTACTAATCCTCTGTCTCATTTGTACCTGAGCTCTTCCAGGGAGTGACGTGGAGCACATGGATTAGTCCTGAGATTGTGACAATATTTTTGTCTACAGGGCATTTTTTTCCCTCACTGGATTGCAGAGAGCGATGACAGAAAAAAGGGATTCCTGAGTTACAAAGCTTGATTTTATATATATGTACACAGGTGAAACTCGAAAATTTCGAATATCGTGCAAAAGTTCATTTATTTCAGTAATGCAACTTAAAAGGTGAAACTAATATATGAGATAGACTCATTACATGCAAAGCAAGATAGTTCAAGCCGTGATTTGTCATAATTGTGATGATTATGGCTTACAGCTCATGAAAACCCCAAATCCACAGATGAGAGCAGGTTCACCCTGAGCACACGTGACAGCCGTGAAAGGGTCTGGAGAAGCCGTGGAGACCGTTATGCTGCCTGTAACATCGTTCAGCATGACAGTTTTGGTGGTGAGTCAGTGATGGTCTGGGGAGGCATATCCATGGGGGGGGGGGCGCACAGACCGCTACAGGCTAGACAATGGCACCCTGAACGCAATTAGGTATCGGGATGAAATCCTTGGACCCATCGTCAGACCCTATGGTGGTGCAGTGGGTTCTGGGTTACTCCTGGTGCACAATGATGCACGGCCTCATGTGGTGAGAGTATGCAGGCAGTTCCTGGAGGATGAAGGAATTGATACCATTGAATGGCCCCCACGCTCGCCTGATCTAAATCCAACAGAACACCTCTGGGATATCATGTTTCCGTCCAACCAACACCACCAGGTTGCACCTCAAACTGTCCAGGAGCTCAGTGATACCCTGGTCCAGATCTGGGAGGAAGTCTATCCATTTGGATTTGAAGTAGCATATGTGAAACATGGTTTTTTTTTTTCCAGCTAACATGAGATTCAACTTTTCAGCAATTTTGCAAAATGTTAAGATATTTGGATAGAATTGAACAAAGTGTAACTAATGGTATTTTTTTTAGTATTGGATAGAGTGGAGAGCAATTAGAACAGCTGTCAGCCACAAAAACCTGTATGTCCCCCCCCCCCCCCCATGTGGCCTGTTTGCTGAGAGAGACTTTCTCGCACTTCCAGTTTTGGGTAAGCAACAGGAAGTAAAGGGAAATCCCCACAATGGCAAAAAAAATAAAAGAAGCTAACAGCAGTTATAGCCTTCCCTTACTCTATGTAAAGTTTTAAAAAATGTCTTTAGCTGTACTTTAAAGATAGTGCCAAAGTTATTGATTGACCTGATTGTCTTTTTAGCTTTTCAGATCCTAAATCTGTTTGGAGCCTTCCTGGACAATGTTATTAAAGTGGTGTTAAACCTAAAACTATATTTTGCAGCTTGCCAATCATTAGATGTGGTGACTGCATTTGTGTTTTTTTTTTAGGCTTTTTTCCTCCTCTGTTTTCACTTGGTGATCTGGCCAGTAACACATTTCCTGTATTAAGGGTGCCTACACTCTGGATGAAGGAGCAACAGACACCTTTGGACAAAAGCACTGCAAGTCTTGGGGGGAGATTGAAGCCAAATTTCAGCTAACACTTCTAAAGCAGTTACTGTAATTGGTTTTGTTCCTTTTGTGATAAAAGGTTTACATAAATAAAATGATGATCATTATACGCACCCCTGTCAGTGGTAAATGGTTGGTCTTAACTCCCTAACTGCTACATCTGCAGGAAAGCTTGTTCTGTTGAAAAAAAACATCAAACTTACTAGCCTGATCACAGGGTGAAAATAAAAAGCCTAAAAAAGAAAAATTAATGCAGCCATCACATCTAAGAACTGGTAAAGCTGAGATATAATAAATATTTATTTTTATGTTTAATATCGCTTAAAGGACATCACAGGAGGGAAAGCATTGTTTGTTTCGGCAAAAAAAAAAACAAAAAAAAAAAACTGGGCCTTAGGTGACGTTTCACCTCTGAGGTTAACAAGAGTTCCTTTAATTTCTCATAGCTCAGCACCCAGTCCCCTTGCAAATCCTGGGCTCCCAAAACTTCCATAGAAGCAGACAAGCCCTCCTCTCAATGAGAGAACTGTGTTGATGGCACTCTTCTCCTCACCCTACACAGAGATTATCCAATTCATGGGACATTTTAAGTGCCAGCAGAAAGAGAATGATCGACACTCTAGTCGGTAAAAACTGCAGTTAACCCCTTTACATACCGTACACAACAACTGTCACCACATGTATTGACAGAAACATGCACTGTTCACAGTTTCTGCTGTAACAAGTCTGACTTTTAAGTAAAGTCTGTAATGCATGCTGTCCCACCAGACAGGAATGACAGAGGTTAAAATATACAAGGCCTTCTGGTTTAGTGTATTCGAGATAAAGCTTAATTTTAAAATATTGCTTAATGAAAGGTCTGCTGGCCGCGTTTAGGGTGTCATTAAGAATGAATGGAACTGCAAGCATAACATGTTTTTCATACATCTCAGCCTAAATTCACACTTGTGCAGGTCCAAAACACAGGAAAAAACTGAGGAGTTCCTGATCCGAAGGCAAAGCTTGTTGCTCTTTTGCAGATGAGTGGGGGAGCCATAAAGAATTAATGGCACCCCTGTGAGTCTGCTAAATGCCCGCAGAACCACACGGCAGCACCATTCCATGCAGTGTGACTTTAAAAAAAAAAAAAAAGGCCCAGGACTTGTTCACCTGCGTTTCTGTAGTTAAGGCAGCCAACTAAAATGAATGGGCTGCTCAGCCTGCAGAACACAGGTGTGAACCTAGGCTACAGCCTGGAAATTAAACCTGGAGAAAAACCTCAGGAGCTTGTTATTCTGATGGGGAAGGGGGTGAAAATTAGTCTATCTGGGGAGTCCGCCATAAAAATGTCCGATACTAAAACATCCAAAGATGCAAGGACCATTTTTTTTTCTTAAAGTGTAACTCCGAGGGAAAAAAAAAAACCCCAGGTATTTCCCCAGGTCCACTTACGTACTTCTACTTCTTGGTATACCATGTTCAGAAGAGCTGCTAGGAGCGCTAACAAGAAAAAAATCTTAGTTCAGTTATGCCAGATACTACTGTCAGCTTTACGTTTTGCTACAAGGCATTCTGCAAGGCGTTCAGGGGAGAGCATTTTTTTTAAGAATAAAAAACTGCCTATGTGAGCTTGATAGAGCTTTTGTCTTCAAGAAGAACCCATGTATAGAAAACTTAATGTAGATTCAGGCAAAAACAAATGCACAGACATATTAGTATTTTTTAATCAAAAGTCATAATTAGAGAAAAAGTCAAATTAGAGAAACATTCTGCTATAATCGAGTCCTGCAGAACGCAGTGCATAAATCCAGAAAGAAGGATTTCAGGGTAAAGGTTCACTTCTGTCTGATCAATGGAATTAGATTGATTATTCATACTCTCTATATTTGCTTCAGATGTCATTCAGATCCATTAGCGTTCGTGAGATGAATACAGTAATTAGATGAAGCCAGACTATTACAGGGTGATCCCACCATACAACCCATGTCATTTCTAGAGAGGCCAGCAAGGCTCACAACGTATGTTATTCAGAAGAGAGGAACATACAGATGTATTAGGAACATATCAGGCACTGGCCCCTACAGAAATTAAAGGGGAAGATGGCTCTTCACTTCTCAGTTGCAGGATAGTAGCAGTTGCTGTTGATCCCAAATACGTCCATCTCACCATCTCTTCATACCATTGGATTTCAGCTACACGGTTCACATTTATCTGATAGTGGTTTATCTCTTTACAGCTTGGCTTTCACTGGCTGCAGTTGTAGGCTCTGCAGTTTCATGGCCATTCCCATATTTCCATTGATTTTCAGCTTGCCCTGGAAGAAAGCCTGAGAGACAAGCAGATGATTAGCAGAACTAAAAATTTACAAAGCATTACAAAGTTTTAATAACCGCAAATGCCAAATGTCCCAAGCAACATATTCAAAGATTAATTAAACTCTGCTAAATGTTATTTTTAAATTGGTCCCCAGGAGGTTTAGCCACAGTGTGCTAGTAGGCACCGACTTGCCTAACAAGCGAGTCTTCCAGTGCTGCACTGTCACTGCTCCAGCTGGTCCTGGGGGCTTCCATCTTCACGTTGTGTCCCTTACAGGCTTGCTTGAATAGCCAGGCCAAAATGACGTTACTCCCACACATTCGCACAGGCGTGACGTCATCATGGCACAGAACGCGTACCGTAAATGTGAAGGCCAAGAGAGGCCAGTCAGTGGATTTTAAAATTTTTGTCTTTAATACCACTTGAAAGTGCAACATCTGCAAACATCCCACAAACATTAAAAGTGATACTAAAGTCTTGTTTTTTTGGGTTTTTTTTAAATAAAAATAACAAACATGTTATACTTACCTGCTGTGTGCAGTGGTTTTGCATAGAGCAGTCCGGGTCCTCCTCTACTCAGGTCCCCCACCAGCACTCCTAGCCCACCCCTCCTGACAGGTGCCCCCATAGCAAGCTGAGCAGGATCGCTCCCAAGCTGCAGCTCTACGGGTCCATTCACACTCAGAGCCGTGGCTCAGTCTCACCCCCCTCCTTCTCCTGATTGGTTCACTGGTTGTGATGGACAGAAGCGGGAGCCCATGGCTGCTGCCTCAGCCAAAACAGGAGTGAGAGTCCCCAGAGAACAGATGCTCTCAAGGACATTGCTGGATCAGAATGGGGCTCAGGTAAGTGTTAGGGGGCTGGGAGGAAAGCTGCACACAGAAGGTTTTTTTTACCTTCATGCATACAATGCATGAAGGTGTAGAACCTTGAGCCTTTAGAACCACTTTAAGTTGGCCATACACCCAGTAGCATTTTGGTAGAAAATTTAAAATTTTTGGAATGTTCACTTTGTTTTCTAATGGTTAGTGGGGACAAATCAATGATAGTCTTCAACTGTAGAGATGAGAAAATTCAAAGGAACAGGACGAAAGTTTTTTTCTCTTTTTTTTTCTGTCTGAGCAAATAAAATTCTAACCAAAATAGGATTTTAAATTCGGGAAAAAGCACACATATGCTAGACACAAAAGAAACCTATTTAATAAATCTGAGGTTCCATTGAAGTAGATCTGGATGAACTTTTAAGGGCTTTTGGCCCAATGATGGAAAGATTGAATGCCTGACAACGAGTCTACAGAATTTTGTATGAAAGTTCAAATAAAATTATAATGGTGTATGGCCAGCTTTACTCACTATGTTCAAGTACTAATAAAAACAGTTATCTTGCTTCATTCTTAAAAGGATAAGTTCAGGTTTAGCTAAAAAGTCAGCAGATCCCACTCCCTACCCCCTTAATACACTCAAAAGGCAACCCCCCCCCCAAGTGGCCACTTACCTTAATGCAGTAACTTCTTATAGACTTAAATGGCACATTTCAGATCTATAGGATGCTACATGCAGGCAGTGCTGGGGAGGCTTCTTAACAGTAAACACCACATTTTTAATGATATCTGCAGATTTATTCTGTTCATCTACAGGCAATGCGAGCTCACTAGTATGTAAACCCCAAATCTATTTTAATTACATCCTTGTAGCCAACAGCTGGCTTTTTATTTCCACTATTGCTAGGTGGATTCATCTGCTCATCTTTCAAATATATGGGGAACTTTTTCAGATTCTCAAATCTTGCAAGGCTGTCTCCTGATCTCTTGCCAATGTTCAATTCTCCTGAAGGTGGTATTATAACCTATATACACAACACATTACACAACAAACATATATAATATATATACATACACACACATTATATATATATATATACATACACACACCACACATATATATATATATATATACATACATATTATATATATATTATACATACACACAATATATAAAATATATATACATACACACACCCAAATATATACAGTCATGGCCGAAATTGTTGGCACCCTATCTATATTTTTCCTGAAATCAAGTATTTCACCAAAAAAAAAGGTATTGCATTAAACACTGTTTTGCTATACACATGTTTATTCCCCTTGTATGTATTGGAACAAATATAAAACAGAGGCAGAAAAGCAAATTATGACATAATGTCACACAAAACCCCAAAAACATGGGCTGGACAAAAACAACATTGGCACCCTTAAACTTAATATTTGGTTGCAACACCCTTTGGAAAAACATAACTGAAATCAGTCGCTTCCCCTATAAACCATCAATAAGCTTCTGACACCTCTCACCGGAATTTTGGACCACTTTCCTTTTGCAAACAGCTCCAGGTCTCTCTTATTGGAAGGACACCTTTTCCCAACAGCAATTTTAAGATCTCCTCCACAGGTGTTCAATGGGATTTAGATCTGGGTCATTGCTGGCCACTTCAGAAAAAAGAACCCACAATAGCGCTTCTTTGCCATCCATTTCTGAGTGCTTTTTTGACGTATGTTTGGGGTCAATCTGTCCTGCTGGAAGACCCAGGATCTTGGACGCAAACCCAGCTTTCTGAACACTGGGCCCTACAGTGCGACAAAATCCTTTGGTAATTCCTCAGATTTCATGATGCCTTGCACACATCAAGGCACCCAGTGCCAGAGGCAGCAAAAAAAAAAAACCAAAACATCATTGAACCTCCACCATTATTTTACCGTAGGGTACTTAAAGTGTTTTTTTCCCTTTTGTAGGCCTCAATTCCGTTTTCGGTAAAACAGTAGAATGATGTGCTTTACCGAAAAGCTCTATCTTGGTCTCATCTGTCCACAAGATACGTTTTCCAGAAGGCTTTTTGGCTTACTCAAGTACATTTTTGGCAAACTGTAAAAAACTTGCTTTTTTAATGTCTCTGTGTCAGCAGTGGGGTCCTCCTGGGTCTCCTGCAATAAGCGTTTTCATTTCATTTAAATGTCGAAAAATAGTTCGCGACAACTGATGCTCCTGAGCCTGCAGGACAGCTTGAATGTCATTGGAACATGTTTGGGGCTGCTTATCCACCATCCGGACTATTCTGCCGTTGCAATCTTTCATCAATTTTTCCTCATCCTCCACGAACCAGGGAGATTAGCTACAGTGCCATGGGTTGCAAACTTCTTGATAATGTTTAAACTGTGGACAAAGGCAAATCTAGTTTTTAGCTCTGGAGATGGAAATGTAACCTTGAGATTGTTTGATATTTTGCCACAATTTTTTTTTTTCTCAGGTCCTCATCACAGTTCTCTCCTCCTCTTTCTGTTGTCCCATGCTTAGTGTGGCACAGACAGACACAACAATGCAAAGGTTTTAATGAAACTCTCCTTTTTATCTGCTTTCAGGTGTGTTTTCTATATTGCCCCACACACTGTTACTTTTTGCCCAGGTGAGTTTACAGGAGCATCACATGCTTTGTAACATTCCCCTTATTTATCCGCAGTTGTGAAAGGGTGCCAATACTTTTGTCCAGCCCATTTTTGGAGGTTTTGTGTGACATTTTGTCGAATTTGCTTTCTTTTTTTTCCCTTTTTTTGTTTTGTCCCGCTACACACATAAGGGAATAACCATGTGTAAGCAAAACATGTGTTTAATGCAATACGTTTCGTGAGAAATACACATGATTTCCTGGAGAAATATCAAGGGTGCCAACAATTTTCGGCCATGACAAAGTATATATTATATAAACACAAACATTAACACACCCATTAAACACACATACACACACACACACACACACACACAACCACACACTGTTGAAAAATGTGTTTTTTTTTTTTACAAAATATATGAAAAATATTTTTAAAACTACATTTCAAATATACTGTATGTTTTTAAAAATATAAATCTACATTTTTTTCTGGAATGCATTTAACAAATATATTTAAAAAACTGACTTTTTTTTTAGATGTTACCAAAAAAATCCGAAGAATATATTTTAAAAATATTTTTATTAAATATATTTAAGATTTTTTTTAACATATAAAAAAATTTTTTAACATATATTTGTAAATGCATTCCAAAAATGTAGATTTGTATTTTTTAAAGACATACAGTATATTTGAAATGTATTTTCAAAAATATTTTTCATATATTTTTCCAACCCCAATAAAATGCATTTCACAACATGCAGTATATATATATATATATAGTTATTCAATATATAATTTTTTAAAAAAAATATTTTTCGAAATACATTAAAATATGGCCAAAATTGGGGTATATTTCAAATATATGGCAAAAATATTTGGGAAGAATATTTTAAAAATATTATTTCAAATATAATTTTTCTTCCCTGTGGATTTGGCTCCTTTGGTTGGCTGTTGGCAGCCAATGGCTACCTAAAGGGAGCTTGCAGAGCAGGTTGACAAAGCTGTCCCTAAATGTAAGCCATAAATGGATAGCCTTTTTTTGTTGCTGACAATTTTCTGTCCACCCATGAAGCAAATTTTGGTTGGTTCATCAGGAGCCAGACAAAATTATGTATGGCCAGCTTTAGTGAACTCATACTGCAACAGAAGTGCTGTTACTAGCCGGATCTTCTGCAAGAAAATATGCAAACAAATTCAAAACACACAAAAAAAATTTGCCGTCTGCCTGCAACTTCTTCTCTGAAAGGACATTGAAAGAAACCTATGACAAGAACTATGCAAACAGAAATGCTGGTATACATTTCACATTTTGCAGAAGTACCTGTTTAATTGACATGTTTTCCTCTCTATTTTGATACAAATACTTACTGTCTGAGGATTGATCTTTCCAGTCATCAAAGCCAAGAGGTCAGAGTCCGCCATGGTGATTGTGCAATCCGCCTTTTTATCTGCAACACAAGTGACATATCAGATGTATTAGCAATCATTTTACATGGCTGAAATATTGTTCAGGGTCTCGTTGATGGTGGTGTACAATTTTCCTTGGCAAAACCTTTTACCCTACAGTTTGGATGAAGTGGAGAAAGGCAGAAGAAAAAGTCAAGGAGATTTCACCCAACTTCCCCTCCCTGTGACACCAGAGCAAGAAATGAAGGGTAAGGGTGTCATTAGGACAGGAAGATGCAAGAAAAACAAAACAAAACAAAAAACCACAAACACAATTTGGCAATGGCATTAACTCTCTTACCAAAATGAATTATGCACAGCCTGCAGTACATGCAGGGGCGGACTGACAACTCATGGGGCCCCCGGGTAATAGGGGATCATGGGGCCCCTGTGTCTTTGCCCAAACTCAAAAATGCCTATGAAAAAGGTACCAGGGGCATCTCATGGGGCCTCCTACTGACCCGGGCCCTCGGGCAGTGCCCGAGTTTCCAAATGGTCAGTCCGCCCCTGAGTACATGGCTTAATGAAATTAGGAGGGAACTGTCTTTGTTTCTGACAGCGCATTCATTCTAATGCAGCATGGGGCGTACCAAGTTCTTGTTTCATTAATTTGATAAATGGGGCTCAGAGTTGTTATTAAAAAAGGGAGGACAGACAAAAGGGGGAAATATTTTTAATGGAGATGAATTTGAATCCAAGTTCTTACTGCTGCAAATGTTCTCATTTGGGACATTTCCCTTCTTGGTAGCAGGTCCATAAGATGCCTATCAAGAACAAAAAAGGTATACCGCTCAGGCAAACAATCCAGATCGATCCACGACAGGTGCGGGCTCTGGCTCGCCACCACACACACATGCAATAGGAAGAATGGTCAGTCGCACACCAGAGGATAGATGAATATAGTGTGTATTTATTGATCCATAGGACACACAAAACACCAGGACATGAATACAGGACCTGTTAATGCATTAGTCTCGTGCTTAATCATAATGATTAATAATGATTAAGCACGAGGTCATCTGGAAAGCGGCAACAAGTCCTGTATTCATGTCCTGGTGTTCTGTGTGTCCTATGGATCAATAAATACACACTATGTTCATCTATCCTCCGGTGTGCGGCTGACCCTTCTTCCTATTGCATAAGATGCCTCTGCCAGCACTTCCCTAATTGTATCTCCTATAATTTAGTGTTCAGGGCCTGAGCACTGTTACATACAGAATAGTGAAATAGGGGTAGAAGCCTTTTTAGCCATATGTGAATGTTGTCTGGGCAGAGCCATTGCTTGTGACATCATCACGCAGCTCGTAACCAGGAAGCGGCCTGTCCGACTCCCAGGACCGGTCTCTTATAGATAAGCACTTATTATTTTGAACTCTGTAAATGGTTAGTTACTTTTTAATAAATTTTACGCGATGTGGCTTTCCCAACTATTTTCCTATGTCATGGTTGAATACATCCGATGGTGGATGGGGCACCCATGAGGATGTAGCAGTAAGCCAGAGAAGGCATATTTTCCCAAGCAAGGAACAAATGGATACAAAAGCTTGTTTGACTCTTTATGATTAAAGAGTCCATTAGCTCTGGTAAGAGTTTTATTATGTAGGTGATGGAGTATTTAAAGTGGAAACATAGAAAAGTGATGGCAGAAAGACTGGGTGGTCCATCAAGTCTGCCCTTTTTTTGTGTGTGTGTGTGTGTGTTTATTTGGGGGTTTTTTGGGAGGGGGGGATTGTGATTTTTTTTTTTTGGGGGGGGGGGGGGTTGATTTTTTTTTTTTTTGTTCTTGAACTGCACTGCATCTGAGCACCACAAACAAAACATTTAATTCATTGTCAATATTCAAACCAAACTCACCCATTCATCCATGTCTCTGTGCTACATTTTACTGAGAAATCACTTTGAAAAACACCCCCTAGCATTTCTGGTAGTGGCCATCTTGAGTAAGGGCAGATGATTCAGGTAGCATTTACTACCTGAAATCCAGGCATTGGCTGAGCTGAGAACCCTCCCTCTCCTGAAGACTGCTGGAATGTATGACATTATTTGCCTAGGCATGGAAACCAGGAAGTAACTGAAGTAATGTTTTAAACTTTTTTTTTTTTTTTACAAATAAATATGATATACCTTCCCATTTACTAATGTTAGCAGCATAAGGATTAAAAATGGTCCATATTGATTGAGAGAGTGAAGTTCCACTTTAAGATGTCGTGGAGTACCAACTGATTGTGCAGGTCAAGATTTGTTTACATAGACTCAATCATTTTGGACAATTTGTGTTATTTTCACTTTTTTGGGAGTATTATTAATATTAGCTGAGCACTCACACAGGAACTCTCATATATTTTTATTTGTCACTCTATGTATATTGTTTTTTTAAAGTGTGGCACCTTTGATTTATATACAATTATTATGCAATTTCTATTGATTGTTGTGCCAGCAGCTTGTAAGGATTTTTAGTGCAATTTCTTTTTTTGGGTTTATTGGTTGATCAGTTATGACACCATGGTGGTTTGCCAGTTCAACTGAGAGCACAAGCAACTGTGACAGTTATCATTCATGTTATGCCCTGAATGTTACTGTTCTGGGAAACGGTTAATTAACAACCTACTGGTGTGAGAGATCACAGAATGATTGCACACAGACCAGGAATCATTTAGTTTAGCCAAAAATCATAGGGATTCACCTGAGTCATAGTGCACAGATCCTTTTCCGTTCTTCACATCAACAACCCAAGTGGCCTCCTTCCCTCCAGGCCCATCTTTTACCTTAAAGGCAAACACACCTCCAATCTTTTGCACATATTCACCCCCTTCCTGTAGGACACATGCAAGCAAAAAAAAGCAAATTAATCATGTAGTAACACCTGATATTAGTCACATCAGCCACATCATTTTTTTTTTACAAAAACAAAATTCAAGACTCTAGAACTCTGGGATAAAACCCAAATCTTAAAAATCTTCCCTTGCCCTCTCCTAACACCTCTCCTGACTAACCTGTGTACGAAAAATGTATATACTCACCCATTTCCAGCCTGCTCCGGTCTGGTTTCATGATCTCCCCCGACTGACTGCCTCTGCTTGAACAGCACCCTTTGTTGCTGGGGGAGCTCAGAGCATCCAACAGGTAAGCATTACAGAGCTTTCCTGCTTTCTAAAGGTGGGTTATAAGTAGTAGCAAATGAATTTATTAGTGTAGTGCAAGATGAGATTTAGATCTGCTTAAGGAGACACCATCACCTTGCACATGTAGGGCAAAGTGACAATGTTACCTGCAGTACCCTACCGGACACCTTACCTGCAGTACCCTACCGGACACCTTACCTGCGGTACCCTGATGCTCCTTCCTCCATGTTACTCTATGGCTGTGGTTTTGAAGTGGACTGGCAGCACTACTACTGTCACATAGGGAATTGGTTTTTCTCCCCTTTTTTTTGCCAGAATAGACTTTGACTGCTAGGAGCCGTTTCTTGGACCATATAAGTACTCTGTTTGACTTGTTTCCTGCTACGGAGTGGTAAATTGTGTCTAATCGGTGGACATCAATATTCTTTGATTGAGGGATCCTTTTTGCTTCTGTTTGGACCCAGTGCTCGTGTTCTTTCCACGGGCCTCCTGCAAAGTCATTGATCTCACTTTGGAGCTTTATACTTGGTCTCCCTGAAGAAGTGGGCTGTGTCTGGTGAAATGCGTCGGAAAACAAAGAAACGTATCAACTCACAATAATGATGCCAATCATGATATTTATGCTATCAAAGGCCTGATTATGCAGTGATGTATACCAATTGTGCTTGTTATTAGCAATGCAAGTTTTTTTAAGATGAATGTATCCCGTGCTTGATTTTCATTACCACAACGGTGGTTTGAATTTTATTAATAAAGTTGTCTTTGTTGTGTGATGCCTTCAGCATATTTTTATGTTATGTTCATTGTTAGTTTATTATGCTATGGAATGTAAGGTAAAGTGTAATATCGCTATCTAGTGGCTCTTTTGTGTTACAGTTTTATAGATTATTTTCTGTAGTTACACATTTTATTGCTTAAAAGCCACTGTAGTTTTCCCATTATCCTATGGTCTTCACCATTCATGAGGTCTTAGAGACATTTCCTAGCAGCCATCTTACATTTCCTCCAGGAGGACTCCAAACTTATTCAGCTGCAGTTTTGTTGTTGGCCTATTGGAAACATCGCCGGTATGTTTAAAAAACCCTTTCTAGCTAGATTAATGCATCAGGACTGTATATTTTGTATATTGGTACACTGATTGGATGTTATTTCTTTCATTTGTAGTTTTACTCTAACTTCCCTGCAATAAAAGTTGAAAAGAGGACCTAGCGCCTGCATCAATGAGTTGTTAAGGGAGAAGGGTTATCTGTCTGTCAAATTACACCTCCACCACGTATAGTGAGGGCAGAACATGTTGTGTATATATTTGACTTGTATTTTGTGGTATGGCGCTTTCAAAACCCCATTAGTTTGTCAGTTAGGGAATTGTTATTTTCAGTGTCTCCATGTTACTCCCTTTGCTCTGTAACAGTGCTTGGACCTAGAGATTGGCTGCCAGTCGCATGCATGGTGACAGGGGAGCAGGTCACATGCTTCCCTATATCCAGAAGCTTCAGGTAGAGCCTCCAGTTATGAGAGAAAGAAGTGAAGAGGAGCACAGGGAGTATAAAGGGGTCACTTATACACATACATAGATGCATTTTTTTTTCAAAATTTAAAAATCTAATTAATTTTATCAACTCAAGACCTTGCCAAGATCTTGTGACTGTGAGATAGTTAGATATATACTAATATACACTATATATACACACACAATAAATATATATATATATATATTTGAGGTGTGTGTGTATATATACATATACACATACATACACACACATCTCAATATCTCTCTCATATATATATATATATATATAATATAGATATCATATATATGATACATATATTATTATATACACACACATATATATATATATATATATATATATTATATATATATATATTTATATATATATATATATATATATACACATACACACCACACATACACACACCTCAATCAATCAGTCTTGAGTTGATAAAATTAATTCGTTTAATTAATTAGGATTTTTTGGATTTGGAATACAAAAAAAACAAACACCTAAATATTAAAATTGTAAAACGTGGTATCGAAGGTTTATTCTGGGACATGAACGGCAGTTGCCCTTATGAGCAAATCACATACTCAAACTATCTCTTATCACTTGATAAGTAATATGATCGTTGATCGCGGTAATCTATATTAAAGGGGTCAAACTGAACTATTTTGCACTGTAAAAGAAATAAATGAATGAAATCACACCCCCCTTCCCCCATCTTTTACCTCTGCCAGCTTCTTTTCAATCTCCTTGAACACATATTGGGATTTAAATCCATTTTCAGCGCTGGTTGGCACAAGCTGGATATGAGTGGACCTGAAAAGACACAGACATTGCTTAATCATGTGGCAGTAATAGAGCGCACTGATCACTGACCGTAAATATTTTAGCCTCATACACAGTGGTGGGATTTTCTTTAAAGTGAACCCATAAGCAGCTTTATAAAAGTACAAAAAAGACCCATCTAAGTTCAGGTGCCACAAGGTGTCTTCCATTTAATATATTAGCTGTAAAGTCTCTTCTGTGCACCCCTCTGATCCTGGTTTCACTTTTTCTTACAAAGGGACAGTTTTGGACACCAAAGCTTTCAGACCATTCCTGCTGGCTTTGCCAAAATTCAAGCAGTGTATGGCCCTACTTGAACAACAAAAGTCCATTAATCAATCGATTTTTGGCAAAGCAGCCTTACAGAAAATTACCAAACAGCACCTGCATCTAATCAAATGCAAGCACTCTTCGGCTATTATGTCAGCCCGCGTGTGCTGGCTGTAAACACGGATCGGACGGACATACAGAAGAGCATTATGTAGCTCAAAAAATTAGCAGCAGACACCAGCAGTTCAGACTTGGGTACACATTTAACTTCTACTTTTAAATGGTTTGAAGAACTGACAGCTTAAAGCTGAAGTTTAATCTGATTATATTTTGCCTTCCCTGGTTCATACTTTCCTCCTCATCAACGTGCTAATGAAATTGGAAAATAAAATCTGCTTTCATTACTTGCCTTATTTTTGACCAAGTGATGCCATCTCTAGGTCTCTGTGCTTCTATATGCAGCTCATGGCGGGTGGGAGGGGCTGGCAGAGTACTGTACATAGATTCCTGAAACCATCACAGCACTCTGCCTCAGTGCTCCTCAAAAGAGCCCCCAGCATTAATGCAAGCAGTAGGCTGGCTCTTGGGAGCAGTTATGCAAATATCAAAATTCCTTGATGGTTGGATGTCAGTCTGGAGGAGAGGGAATTTCTGGGCAGGCTGAATGTGCCTAGAGATTGCTCTAGATCAGTGGTCTCCAAACTGTGGCCCGAGGGCCGGATGCGGCCCTTTGATAGCCTTTATCTGGCAATTGGGGCACTATTCCTCTCGCTTACACCAACAGTGGGGCATAATTCCTGCCACTGACAATTACGGGGCACTATTCCTCCCACTAATACCAATGGTGGGGCACTATTCCTCCCAATGAGACACTATTCCTCCCACTCACACCAACAGTGGGGCATAATTCCTGCCACTGACAATAATGATGGGGCACTATTCCTCCACACTAATGTCAATGGTGGGGCACTATTCCTCCCACTGACACCATAAATGGGTCAATATTTCTCCCATTAATATCAATGGTGGAGCACTATTCCTCCCATTGGCACCAAAAATGGGTCACTATTTCTCCCACTAATACTAATGGTGGGGCACTATTCCTCCCACCGACACTATAAATGGGTCAATATTTCTCCCACTAATACCAATGGTGGGGCACTATTCCTCCCACTCACACCAACAGTGGGGCATAATTCCTGGCACTGACAATTATGGGTCACTATTTCTCCCACTAATATCAATGGTAAGGCACTATTCCTCCCACCGACACTGAAAATGGGTCACTATTTCTCCCACTAATATCAATGGTAGGGCACTATTCCTCCCACCGACACTGAAAATGGGTCACTATTTCTCCCACTAAATCAATGGTAGGGCACTATTCCTCCCACCGACACTGAAAATGGGTCACTATTTCTCCCACTGATACCAATGATGGGGCACTTTCTCATTCCTCTCACTGACACCAATGATGGGGCACTATTCCTCCCACTGATACCAATGATGGGGCACTATTCCTCCCACTGATACCAATGATGGGGCACTATTCCTCCCACTGATGCCAATGATGGGGCACTATTTTCCTTTCCCACTGATGCCAATGATGGGGCACTATTCCTCCCACTGCCAATGATGGGGCACTATGATACCAATGATGGGGTACTATTCCTCCCACTGATACCAATGATGGGGCATCACTCCTCCTCCTAATGACCACCAACCCAGGGGCCATATTTATTCTCACTGATACTGGCCTTGAGACATTTTCTATCCTCACTGGCCACAATCTGGCCCCCCTAATGTCTGAAGGAGTTTACTGTCCCTTTTAAAGATTTGGAGCCCCCTGCTCTAGATAATGTCCACATGTGATGCTGAACCTCCATTAAAAATCATTAACCTACTGAAAAAAATAATCAAAAGGATGGGCCAGAAACAGTCAGGCATGAGAGGAAAGAGCTAGATGATGCTGGACATCCTCTAGCCAGGAAATGAAGCAGTCTGAATCTGACTTGCTGAAGCTTCATATACACAGAGAGAATTCCAGTGTGCAGAGAAATCACAGCATACAATTTCAGCACAGGGAAGGAATCTGTACAAATGTACAAGACTGAAGTTCAGGGAAATGACACTGATGGATATGTGACTTCAATGTGAGAAGATGACTCCAAGGAGGCCTTACATTACCCTCCACCAAGGTGAGCCCGGGACACATGGCGCTGCATACGGATGCGTCCTAAGTAGCGAATAGTAAGTGGATTAATTAGGGTAAAGTAGATCAGAGTGCAGATCAGGGGACCCCCTGTAGTGGGGGGTCAGACAGATACCTTTCTTGCTGGACATGACCATTGTATCAGCTTAACCTTTGACATTGTTTAGCAGAGGGTTCCTGGTCCCAATGTATGTTCAGGGCTCGGTGGATATTCTGCTTGATTTCTATGTTATGAAATGTCTCAACATACAGAGAATATCTGCTGACAGTATTGGGGGAATTCATGAAAAGTGCCTCCAGGCGACAAATGTCAGTGCAGGCGACAGAGTTATGTAGTGTTCTAATGCAAGCCATACATGGGTCGAATTCCGAATGATTTTTTTTTCGTCCTAAAATCGAAACATCATTCGTTCTATAATCCGATGATACCACCAATGATTTCAAAATCAGTCGTTTTTCACAAATTTTTCAGCATGCCCGATAAACAAACTGGGAAGAAACCACGAAAATCAGCCGGTGCCACTGCCCCACTAACAGTGCGAAAATTCTTAGGTCTGATTTTCGTACGAAAATCGTTTGGAATTCGAACCATGTATAGCCTGCATAAGACCGGTAGATGAATCTGACGGCCTATTGAGACCAGGGCGTCCAGCTGGATGCGGTGTCCTCAGTGCAGCTGCACTGCCTTGCTGTCACACAGATGGAACTGCGGTGTGGAGTTTTGAAGCTGGGTGGGTGGAGCTGGATAGGGATTAACAGAACCTAGATCCCCATTAGGTCTGCTCCCCTTGTGATTGATATCAGGCTGTGTGCAGAATTGTCAACAGGCAGCCTGCTATTGGCCATAGAATCCATCCATTGCCTGCTGTCAGTCACAAGAAGAGGGCAGACCTGATGGGCAACTAGAGTCTCAACTTCCCCATTAGGCTCCTCCCACTGTCAGCTACACAGGTTGGTTGCTAGGAGGCTGTCAGCTGTGAAAGCCGACAGCATCCTTAACAAGAGGAGGAGGTAGCAGCGGCAAATATAGGCCCAATGAGAGGCATCTATCAATGTATGGCTAGCCTTAGGAACATTTCCTTTAAAGTTTATCTACATTAGTAGATAAGCTGCCTTGCAGCAGTGGGATCCTCAATCAAATCCCCAGCCAAGATGTTATGTGCATGGGTATGTTCCTACTATGCTTGCATGGGTTTTCTCTGAGTACACTGGTTTCCTCCACGCATACCAAAGACATGCTGATAGGTTAATTGGCTCCTGACTAAATTGACCCTAATATGTCTGGGAGATAAAGACTGGAGGGCTCTATGAAGGCAGGGACTGATGTGAATGTACAGTATGTATAGCATTGCATAAATTATCAGTGCTATATAAATGCCTGTAATAAATGTAGTACAATTGGAAGCATTTACAATGTACTACCTGTTCAGTTTCTCGGAAAAAAAAAAAAAAAAAAAAAAAATCGATTTTGGTATGTTCAAAAGAAATTTGAAACTGAAACAAACAAGGAAATATTAAATTAATAATAAAAAAATAAATCCATAACAAAAAATGTTATATATTCATTATTCTATATTATTTTTTTAATTTTTTTTAATTACCCTTAATTTAGAACCCACTATATATATTACATATATATATATATATACATACACACACACATACACACCCACATACACACATATATACAGTGGGTTCTATATTAAGAGTAATTACTAAATGAAATAAAAAGATTAAATTATAATTTTATATAATCTTTTTAGTTAACCATTACTCTTAATATAGAACCCACTATATTATATATATATATATATATATATATATATATATATATATATATATATATATATAATATATATATAAACATACACACACATATACATATATTCTTAGTCGCACGATTCTGAGGAGGTTAAAGGACGTAATCGGACAGATGCTGGTCACATGTTAAAGGCAGTTCTGCTTCCCTGACCAAGGTTACCCACAATCCACCACTTCCTCACGCCAACAGAATTGCAGACCATTTTCTGCATGACTTGCAGGACTACATTCATACATCCAGGCTCTCGCCCACAATGCAGACATGATATGCACACAATGGGGCGGCTGTCATAGTCGCCTCCTCCCCAGCCGATGATCAGTGACCACACACACATGATCTGCACAGATTAATCTGCACAAGCTGCGTCCGAATACACAAGTCTTCTCTAATTGGTGGAAGGGATAAGAGTAGTGCGTCCTAGATTACATTGATCCACTAAGCACAGGGCATAGACGATGGTAATGAGTGTAGCCGGCTCACCTGGGCTCTGCATCCTGGAATCCCATCTTGTATAAGGCGACCACCACGGCTCCCCCGAGTCCAATGTTGTGCTGCAGGGCTAGCTTGGCTCCAGGAACTTGCCTTTTCCCAGCCTGACCTCTGAGCTGCCAGCAGAGTTCTGCACACTGAGCCAGGCCTGTGTACACAGAGGAGACAGTCAGAGCTCTGCTTCCGGCTCTTCACCACACTCTGCTGGACACAATGTGGAACTGAAGCCAGTCCTATTAACCCCTTCTACACAAGGATCTCCAGTTCCAGCACTCACTAATGCTGATCAAATGGAAGATCGGATAGATAATATAAGCAACAAGGTACAACACCAGAAAAATCAGAAAGTTCCATGTAAACCATAACTACATACTGTACAGCTGCCCATACACTAGTAGGTTTTCAGACAAATGTTTGTACAGAACAAATATTCATAAGAAAATTCTTATCGTTCCATTCAATGACATGATAAATGTTGTTCAGACAAAAAAAGGTTTGTTTTTAACATTTGACCTAGGAGTGAATGGACCTCTGGAAAAAAAATCCATTAAAAAAACAAATTGAACATCAATATGACCCACTTAGCATTGGAAAATCTTAAAATTCTAAATTTCAAACAGAATTCTACTAGTCTATGTCCAGCTTTAATGTTAACAATGATAAAATGGACAAAATGTAACCATGAGAGTGCCAAAACATAGTAATCATTCCACACACGTGTAATCGCAAAATATATCATGATTATATATCATCAACATATTTATTACAGGTAATTATATAGCACCATCAATTTATGCAGCACTTTACATATATATTGTACAATCCCATCAGTCACATACAACTATCTATTTATCTCTCTATCTGGCAGATCTCCACTTCTGTTTAAATTCTCTCCAGAGAACTTCACACCCAGATCTTCTTGTGTAGAGACACCCTAAGGCCTCTTTCACACGGACCTTCCTATCGGGTCCACCTATCCGTTTTTCATGCGGACCCGATCGGAACCTCTATTCTCCTCTATGGAGTGGTGGGTGTAAATGGACATGTGTCTGTTTATACCCACTTACAATCCAATCAAATCCACCAAAAAGAGATGGATGGGGATCTGTTCCCCTTCCATCCAGCAGGTTGGATCGGCTGGCAGTCAGGTGTAAAACGGACAGGTGGTCCATTTGCATCTGACCGCCCACAAAGGACAGAAGTCTGTGTTTGTGTCCACTCTGCATGCACAGAGCGGACATGGATAGATCATCTGCCTGCTCAGCAGGCAGATACCCTGCTAAGCAAGTGGACCACAACCACAGTCCGCCCCGTGTGAAAAGGGCCTTTAGACAGCCATAGATGGACCGAAATTTGGCTGGTTTCTGCTGAACCAGCCAAATTTCTATCCATTTATGGGTGAGCTGGTTGTACTGAAGTCGGTCTTTTGATCAACGTCAGTATAAACCAGCCTGTCAGGTTATTTCTCTATATTCACTACCAGTGGCTACAGCCACTAACAACAGATTATCCACCAAGTACTAAGTCATGTTTTGCTTGGGAATCAAATACTTATTTTACTCACTGAACAGCAACTCAATTTATGACAATGCACTGTGTAATTGGGCAACTATGTGGCAAAAGAGGTTTAATGTTGATAAATGTAAGGTTCTGCACTTGGGGCCTAAGAATATGCATACATCATACATACTGGGGGGGTACAACTGGGGGAATCAATGGTGGAGAAGGATCTGGGGGTTCTGGTAGTTCACAAGCTTAATAATGGCTTGCAATGCCAAGCTGCAGCTTCTAGAGCGAGCAAAATCCTCTCTTGTATTACAAGAGGTATAGACTCCAGAGAGAGAGATATCATTTCCCCTGGTACAAATCATTAGTAAGACCTCATCTGGAATATGCAGTTAAATTTTTGGCACCAATTCACAAAAAATAACATTGGGGAACTGGAGAGAAAGTACAGAGAAGGGCAACCAAACTGATACGAGGCATGGAGGAGCTCAGCTATGAGGAAAGATTAGAGGAACTGAATTTATTCTCTCTTGAGAAGAGGAGATTAAGGGGGGATATGATCTCCATGTATAATACATAAGGGGGGATATGATCTCCATGTATAAATACATAAGGGGGGATATGATCTCCATGTATAATACATAAGGGAGGATATGATCTCCATGTATAATACATAAGGGGGGGATATGATCTCCATGTATAATACATAAGGGGGGGATATGATCTCCATGTATAATACATAAGGGGGGATATGATCTCCATGTATAATACATAAGGGGGGATATGATCTCCATGTAAAATACATAAGGGGGGATATGATCTCCATGTATAATACATAAGGGGGGATATGATCTCCATGTATAATACATAAGGGGGGATATGATCTCCATGTATAATACATAAGGGGGGATATGATATCAATGTATAATACATAAGGGGGGATATGATCTCCATGTATAATACATAAGGGGGATATGATCACCATGTATAATACATAAGGGGGGATATGATCTCCATGTATAATACATAAGGGGGGATATGATCTCCATTTATAATACATAAGGAGGGGATATGATCAACATGTATAATACATCAGTGGTTCATATACTGAACTCAGTGTAGAGCTATTCACCCTGAGGTCATCACAGAGGACAAGGGGGCACTCTTTATGTCTGGAGGAAAAGAGATTTAATCTCCAAACACGGAAAGGTTTCTTCACAGTGAGAGCTGTGAAAATGTGGAATAGACTCCCTCAAGAGTTGGTTCTGGCCAGCTCAGTGGATTGCTTCAAAAAAGGCCTGGATTCTGTCCTAGATACACAGAATATAACTGGATACTAACATTTATAGGTAAAGTTGATCCAGGGAATATCCGATTGCCTCTCGGGGGATCAGGAAGGATTTTTTTCCCTGCAGGAGCAAACTGGATCATGCTTTGCCGGGTTTTTTTTGCCTTCCTCTGGATCAACTGTGGATATAGGATTATAACTTTTTTTTGGTTGAACTGGATGGACTTTTGTCTTTTGTCAGCCAGACTAACATTTGTATCCTGTGTGCTTTCTGGATTTTTGGTTGATATTCTCTTTCTATCATTTAAAATACACCTATGATAAAAATTATAGACCCTTCATTTCTTTGTAGCTTTGTAGCGCACACACACACACACACACACACACACACACACACACACACAACTATACATTTATTGAGCTAAGCTCCGCACTTACACTGAGGATCTGGTTCTCCTGTGGTCTGACAATCCCCCTGAACAGTGCTCTGATCAGCAATGCCCCTTACACAGCAATGTGGTCTCAAAGGGGAAGGATTGTCAGTTTCTCCTCCCCCCTCCCTTAGTCTGCCATTCATATCTATAAAGTCTGGTAGACCTAATGGTGACAAATGTTGCTTTCCTGCATTTGGAACACACATCAAATTCAGATCATCAAAATCCTATTGGTTTCCATGGAGCAGTACACATGACACTTTGCAGTGTATTTCTCTGGAAACATTATGTCCTATTTAGGTGCGTTCGAACAAAAAATGCAGCACTTGGGCTGGTTTGTCTGCAGTTCAAATATATCCCATTCTGGTTTGAATGTAAAAACATATGACAAAAACTCCCATTTACATGAATAACTAGTTGTTCATCCATTGACACTGCATGTAAATTTGTTGCGTGTAAATGGGGCAAAAGGTAATGTTTTCAGGCTATTTCTGCAGATCAAATGTTATTTTTTTTTCCCAAAAAATAAAAACTGTGTGAGTAGTGAAAATACCTCATTATGGCCACTAGATGGTATTGCGTATCAAAGAAAATGAGTATATTCTCTGCTCCATCTAGTGACCGCAATGTTGTATTTTTTCCATTCATACTGTTTTTCTAATGAAAAATATTCAATCTGAAGATAAAATAGCCTGAGAAATTCCAGAATGAATTTGCATGCAGTTTTCATGGCAAACATATTTATATTTTTTGTGTAATACCAAAGTCTGCCAATTCAACTGGACTATGAGGGCAAAGGCACAAGATTTGGTATAACAAGCCGTTCAGATCTCGGGTATAATCATTACAGGTCATCACTTGGATGTAGGCTCAGATACTTGTCATCACTGGGATGTAGTCTCAGGTACGGTCATCAATGGGATTCTGGCTCAAGTACAGTCATCACTGGGGACCCAAATTGGGTTCAGATATGGTCATCATTGGAAAGAAGGCTCAGGAACAGTCATCACTGGGAGGTAGGCTCAGGAAGAGTCATCACTGGGAGGTAGGCTCAAGGAAGAGTCATCACTGGGAGGTAGGCTCAAGGAAGAGTCATCACTGGGAGGTAGGCTCAGGAACGGTCATAACTGAGATGTAGGATCAGGAAAGGTCATCACTGGGATGCAGGCTGAGGTACGGTCATCAATGGGATTCTGGCTCAAGTACAGTCATCACTGGGACCCAAATTGGGTTCAGATATGGTCATCATTGGAAAGAAGGCTCAGGAACAGTCATCACTGGGAGGTAGGCTCAGGAAGAGTCATCACTGGGAGGTAGGCTCAGGAACGGTCATAACTGAGATGTAGGATCAGGAAAGGTCATCACTGGGATGCAGGCTGAGGAATGGTCTTCAGTGGGACTTGGGTTCAGGTATGGTCATCATTGGAAAGTAGGTTCAGAAACAGTCATCACTGGGATGTAGGCTCAGAAACAGTCATCACTAGAATGTAGGATCAGGAACGCACATCACTTAGATTTGGGTTCAGGTATGGTCATCACTGAGATGTAGGCTCAGGAACAGTCATCACTGGGATTTGGGTTCTGGTTCAATCATCACTGGGATGTAGGCTCAGGAAAGGTCATCACTGGGATTTGGGTTCAGGTACGGTCATCACTGGGATGTAGGCTCAGGAAAGGTCATTACTGGGATGTAGGCTCAGGAAAGGTCATCAGTGGGATTTGGGGTTAGGTACATCATCACTGGGATGTAGGCTCAGAAAGGTCATCACTGGGATGTAGGCTCAGGAAAGGTCATCAGTGGGATTTGGGGTCAGGTACAGTCATCACTGGGATGTAGGCTCAGGAAAGGTCATCAGTGGGATTTGGGGTCAGGTACAGTCATCACTGGGATGTAGGCTCAAGAATGGGCATCAGTGGGAT